ATCTTGAAAAAAAAAACGGAAGTAGTGGTAATATTCCTAAAGCCCCTCCACCGGGTTTCAAATCATTTGTATTTCATAGGGACTTTCCACGACTTCTAGGTACTTCAAAGGCTGCGAATGTTCCAGCTTCACAGCCACATGAAGCCATGTGGATGGCATTCTTAAAATATATGTGTCTGAGCGACCTAAAAATTTATTAATTTAAAATTTGCATCAGCCTAATACCAACAATCAATACGAAACTAACGATTTTAAATTGGCTCACTACTTGACTACCCGAATAGAAATTTACATTAGCCCAACGTTTGATTTTGATGTCTACATCAGCATCGAAATCAAATGTATGCCTGATGTCAAACATTAGAAAACATTATGATTTAGTTGTATTTAAGCAACGTAACATGGTGTATACATCAGAAATTTTGGAACAAAATTTTGCCATTCTAATGTCGGTCTGACGTCAAAAATTTCAATCCCTTGACATTAGAACCAAACGTTTTAAGGATGTTTTCTGATGTACATTACGTTAGAACTAAACGTTGTTCGGATGTTTTTAAATGTAAACGTTTTCTGATGTTTTCTAATGTAGATGTTTCCTGATGTTAGAAACAAACGTTTTTGGATGTTTTCAGATGTAAAAAACGTTAGAACTAAACGTTTTTCGGATGTTTTTATATGTAAACGTTTTCTGATGTTTTCTAATGTAGAGGTTTCCTGATGTTAGAATCAAACGTTTTTCGGTTGTTTTCGGATGTAAAAAACGTTAAACTAAACGTTGTTCGGATGTTTTTATATGTAAATGTATTCTGATGTTTTCTAACGTAGATGTCTCCCGATGCTAGAACCAAACGTTTTTTGGATGTTTTCGGATGTACACAACGTTAGAACTAAACGTTGTTCGGATGTTTTCAATTGTACTTCCTGTTTGTTGTTCTCTGATGTTTTCAGATGTACAAAACGTTTAAAGTAAACGTTGTTTTAATGTTTTAAAATGTAGATGTTTACTTATGTTTTAAGAAGTACAAACACTAGAATCTTACTTTTCAAATGCTTTCAATTATATTTACAACACATTAGAATTAGTAACATAATCGTGTAAACACTACACACCATTGTTGTTAGATAACATCATAAAAATGCGTACATAACTGTCAATGCTGAAGCTCCCGTTTCCCACCAGTCAGTTAACTGACCTTAGCTAACCTAATGTCATTGCGGCAACTCTCTATGCGGCAGGGGAACTATGCCATTAGCGCGCTAAGAGTTATTAGACCACTGACATAGGCGCCAATTTGTAGGTGACGAGGCACTTGGTGACATTACAGCGAGCTTGACGATTGTTGCAGCATTTTTTAATCAAACTAACAGTTAAGGAGTGTAGTGTTTACAAGATCATGTTTCTAGCACTAATGCTTTGTACAATTGAAAGCATTGGAAAAGTTAATTCTCATGTTTTGCACAATCAGAAAACATAAAATTGTACAAAAAAAATCATCCATTCTGGTAGACTACCTCTTAAATGCATACAGAATAGCCATTGCGTAAGCTCCCGTTTCCCACCAGTCAGTTAACTGACCTTAGCTAACCTAATGTCATTGTGGCAACTCTCTATGCGGCAGGGGAACTATGCCATTAGCGCGCTAAGAGTTATTAGACCACTGACATAGGCGCCAATTTGTAGGTGACGAGGCACTAGGTGACGTTACAGCGAGCTTGACGATTGTTGTATCATTTTTGAACGAACTACCAGACAAAGATGCCTAGTGTTTACATAATCAAGTTTCCAAATCTACAGGGCCACCCACATTAGATCCGGATCTGGCGCGATGCAGCAAAGTGACAGCTAAATATATTGTCTAACTATAAAATTTACCCGTGTACTGAATGGGAATTGTGGGTTCGAATCCCACCGGTGCCCTTAGATTTTTTCGCAAATTTTCTCACACACATGTCTCTTACCGATGATATGTGCTTACCTCTCAGTATGTTCAAACTTTCCTAAAAATAAAAAATTTACGACAACGCAACGCAAGCAGATCTAATGTGGGTTACCCTTAAGGCCTGTGGAAGAGTGAAAACTGGTGGCCACGTGAAAGTTTAGGGAAATTCCCCCATTAATTTGCAAAATTTAGCAAAACACAAATGCTCCGTCCATGCGTCGAACCACAAACGAAACTCGTCAGTTGGTGGTGATTGATGACTTCCTTCGTTGCTTTGGTGGTGTCATGCCTTCCTTCGAAAAGAAGCACAGCCGTGGATCCTGGCCCTTGAGTTGATGAGTCCAGGTCTAGGTGTTCAATTGCCTCCCTGGCGTAAGTGGTTGCCACTCGGTTGCAGAACATAGAACGATAGAAAATAAACAAGAAAACAAAGCCAAATTGAAGATTAATCCAGGGATTTTGCAGTAAATATTTAGATGAGCTAAGACTAGAGAATGCTAGAGAAACTGTGAAAGACTATCAAAGCAAACTATGCACCTAGATTCAAATCTTTTCAGAAAACTTATCAATACGCATAGTTTGAACCGATGTATAAACATCATGCAGACATTGTTGTCTTTGAAATGTCTACGAGCCTGGTAAAGGGCCGAACCCAATGGCACCAGTACAGCGGCATAGCGGTATAGCGGTAAATGTACATTTTAAGGTTAGTTAGAAGAACTACTAGAACTTCAGGGTAGTTCTATAAACATCAGAAAAATACCAGATTTAATTTAATTTAAGTTAATAATTATTCTGAAGACCTACAACTGAACAGAAATTCAAACGATGTCCTTTTGATATTCTTTGAATAGTTTAAGGTTCTACAAAGGGTCATTATTTTGTTTACTTCTTCTTTTTGAAATATTCTTCGATCATCATTTTCTAAATGTATTGGTAAAATTCATTGGAAGTGCATGTCCCCACGCCAAAACTGCCCATTTTTCATAAATATCAACTGGTATGGTGAGGAAAACTTAACCATCTCTTTTCTTCCTTCGTTTCAATACAACAGCAAATGTGATGTCACACTATCTAGTGGATAAGAATGTAGCAGACAAAACATAAGCACTGCCAGACTGCGCTGTATGCAAGTTTGTTTACACCCCTGAGCGGGAAAGTGTATAACAGGCTACGTGCACTGCTGCCATCAACCCTGTTAGTGTTGAATTCAATCTTCTGTGACTTTTTTAATTGGATCGGTAAAATGTTTAAAATGGTCATTTATGTTTTATTTAATCAGTTTTTGATATTTATCCACCATTAAATACATCCACTCATCTATGTTAATAAGGCAGACTTCGCAATTAATTGTTTTAATAAACTTAAATTCATTGCTAGAGGCAATACATCTGGCACCGCTGTTTCAATGATACTTTCACGATTGCTAGCAAAGCAGTAAAGTAGAAATGGTTTTCTTTGTGATGAATTTTGTTCACCAAGAGTTTTGTGAAGCAGTTGTTTTGAGTTTCGTGTATTCGGTTGCGTTTAATTGTGCTATACTTCGAAGAACACAAGTAAGTAAATACAGTGAATGTGTTTTCCCCAGGAAATTTTCGTGTTTTACCCACGAAATACATGTTATAAATTTTCGTATTCATAATATATGAATGTATGTGTAAACTAATGATGATGATTTTATGAAATTTAAAAAAGAAGAAGAACACACAATTACTTACCCTTTGTAGAACCTTAAATTGATCAGGTATTATTCTGAGAACCTACAACTGATCAATAAATCTTTAACATAAATTTAATTTAAATTTAACGTTAACATAACTTATACCTAAATTTGTATAAACTTCTACTTAACATAATTTTAACTTACCGTTAACTTAACATTAACTTAAATTTTACTTAACTTTAACTTAACGTTATCTTAACTTCAACATAACTTTAACTTAACTTTATCTTACACATAACTTTAACTTTACTTTATCTTAACTTAAACATAACTTTAACTTAACTTAAACATAACCTTAACTTAACTCTAACTTACCTTTAACGTAACTTTAACTAAATTTTAACTTTTACTTTAACATAAGTTTATCTTACCATCAACATAACTTTTACTTTAACATAATTTTAACTTAAATTTAGTTGTTACATACTTAATTTAACTTAACTTTAAATTTTACTTAACTATAATAAAACTTTAACTTAAACATAAACATCGGGATCCGGCATCGGAATGCGTTGCATCAGTAAGGATGCTTAACTCAGCCGGATTCCTCCTGCGGATCAATTTTGGAAAATAGTAACATCAAAATTGATCCGTTGGAGGAATCCGGATGAGTTAATCATCCTTGTTGATGCTTTGCATCAGTCAATTAAATCCGCCGGATTCCTCCAGCGGATCAATTTTTGGAAAAAAAAATACATCAAAATTGATCCGCTGGAGGAATCCGGATGAGTTAAACATCCTTACAATAAGGATGCTTATCTCAGCCAGATTCCTCCAGCGGATCAATTAAAAAAAAAATAATTACACTTAATAACAAATTGTTCAATACTTACCTCTATTCCCGAACACCTCCGGAATTATTGGAAGCAGCCGGCTGAAAAAAAAAACAATTACAAAATAATCAAAATTTTGGATATGTTTGTTAAAATTTGTAATTATTTTTCAAAATTGATCCGCTGGAGGAATCCGGATGAGTTAAACATCCTTGTTGATGCGTTGCATCAGCAAGGATGCCTAACTCAGCCGGATTCCTCCAGCGGATCAATTTTGGAAAATAGTAACATCAAAATTGATCCGTTGGAGGAATCCGGATGAGTTAATCATCCTTGTTGATGCTTTGCATCAGTCAATGAAATCCGTCGGATTCCTCCAGCGGATCAATTTTTGGAAAAAAAAAGTTACATCAAAATTGATCCGCTGGAGGAATCCGGATGAGTTAAACATCCTTATTGATGCGTTGCATCAGTAAGGATGCTTAACTCAGTCAGATTCCTCCAGCGGATCAATTTTTAAAAATAATTACACTTAATAACAAACTGTTTAACACCTACCTCTATTCAATTTCCGTACACGTCCCTTAATCCGGAATTATTGGAAGCAGCCGGCTGAAAAAAAAAATACAAATTAATCAAAATTTTGGATGTTTGTTAGAATTTGTAATTATTTTTCAAAATTGATCCGCTGGAGGAATCCTGATGAGTTAAACATCCTTACAATAAGGATGCTTAACTCAGTCAGATTCCTCCAGCGGATCAATTAAAAAAAAATTACACTTAATAACAAACTGTTCAATACTTACCTCAGCTTACCTCTATTCAATTTCCGAACACCTCCGGAATTATTGGAAGCAGCCGGCTGAAAAAAAAAACAATTACAAAATAATCAAAATTTTGGAAACAGATCCAATTATTAGAATTTGTAATTATTTTTCAAAATTGATCCGCTGGAGGAATCCGGATGAGTTAAACATCCTTGTTGATGCGTTGTATCAGCAAGGATGCTTATCTCAACCGGATCAATTTTTGAAAATAATTACATCAAAATTGACCCGCTTGAGAAATCCGGATGAGATAACTGATGCAACGCATCAATTTTTTAAATTACAAATAATAACACTAAATATAACAAATATTTGAATACTTACTGTTAAAGTTGCTACTTTCCTTCGCGGCTCGGGTGAAGGAATTTGCGGTATGCGTTCCGTGCACTCAGCCATCTTGTCTAGTTTGTTTATAAACAAACCAGACAAGATGGCTGAGCACACGACAAAAAAAACACACCAATTTAAAAACGTCAGTCTTTAAGTCTAAAGCCCTACAGTAAAAGTATGTAGGGCTTTATTTAAGTCGCCCCATGTCAAATGACGTCACTTTGTCGCCGGCAATTTGTGTGTAAAGCCCTACAGTAAAAGTATGGACGTCTGTCAAAAGTTGTTCCAATCGAACCGTCAAAATGCACCGCTTTGCTCGATTGGAACAGCTTTTTTCAGTTTTGTGGTGTCAGTCGTCCATACTTTTACTGTAGGGCTTTATTCGTGTGGGGTGCTGTATTCGTACACGGTAAGAAAAAAGTACCCAACGGCCAGTTCACTTTTACCTACTTTTAACTAGTTTGTCTCCTTTTCTCCTTCTAATGTTGTCAAAAACGGAGGAGCAAAACCACCCAGAGGGGTAGTAAAGTGTGGGAACCCAACGTTGAGTATAATAATATTTACCTACTGTTGCCCTAATAAAAATTGTATGGTTAATTTGCTTAACGACGTGTTCTGGGTATCATCCAAACCATTTGTGGAATAGTTCAATGATTTGGGTTATCGTTCGTTTATGGTTATTTTTTATTAGGGTGGGTACAACTAACTTACTTTTGCGTTGAAAGCTAGTGGAAAATTCCATACGAATTGCACACAAGTAAATGAAAACTACTTTGACCCGCTTTACCTATTTTTGGGTTCCTGCACTATAGTGCCGAGATGAGTGAAAAGAACTTACTTTTGGGTACTTTTTTCTAACCGTGTACACGCTAACTTGAAAGTACTCATTAATGAGTAAAAAAAGACCCATTTTGAAGAAAAGTGGTTTAACTCATTGATGATTAAACCATTTTACCCATTAATGAGTATCTGTTACCCATTAATGATTAACAATTACTCATTAATGGGTAACAGATACTCATTAATGGGTAAAAAATTTACTCATTTAATGAGTTAAGCCACTTTTCTTCAAAATGGGTCTTTTTCAACCATTAATGGGTACTTTCAAGTTAGCGTGTACAGCACACTATGGCCGACGTTATGTTTAACGTACAGAACAAGAGTAAAATCGGGTTTCAATTGAAACGATAATAATCAATTAAAACACTAATTAACTCTTGCACTGTAACGTCACCAGGGCATTGTTTTACATACAAATAAACATTGCCCACAGGGCATGCCAAAACTTCTTTTAGTGATTTGAGGCTATGTCAGTCGTGCAAGAGTTAATGGTCGTAAGCTCTACCTTGTAATCGCAATGTGCTATTTTATATGATTGCGTCGAGGATCGCGCATTGGGCACATTTATGAGATTATGAATGCGGAAACACTAATAAAAGTGCGGTTTTACGTTAAATTGTTGTTGTGTCTTCATCGCACACATTCCTTGGTGAATGAAGAATAAGTGCGCAGAAGGCGTCAAGACGATACAACGTCTAAGTGCACTTTTATTAGCGTTTCCACTCTTCTAAAGAGTTCAATTTTATTTGCAATTGATAATGTCACAAAACTATGCATAGGAGGCATCACTGCACTGCAAGCCACTTTTTATTGTTGTGTCATATGATGTATTCTAATGTTTTATGCGTGCAACAATTTACATCGTGATGAAGTTTGATTCTAATGTAACGTTTGGTTCTGTTGTCATTGGATGTATTCTGATGTTTTATGCGTGCAAAAAATTACATCGTAATGAAGTTTGATTCTAATGTAACGTTAGGTTCTGTTGTCATTGGATGTATTCTGATGTTTTATGCGTGCAACAAATTACATCGTGATGAAGTTTGATTCTAATGTAACGTTAGGTTCTGTTGTCATTGGATGTATTCTGATGTTTTATGCGTGCAACAAATTACATCGTGATGAAGTTTGATTCTGATGTAACGTTAGGTTCTGATGTCATTGGATGTATTCTGATGTTTTATGCGTGCAACAAATTACATCGTGATGAAGTTTGATTCTAATGTAACGTTAGGTTCTGTTGTCATTGGATGTATTCTGATGTTTTATACGTGCAACATATTACATCGTGATGAAGTTTGATTCTAATGTAACGTTAGGTTCTGTTGTCGTTGGATGTATTCTGATGTCAAATTTTACATCGTCAAGACGTTTGATTCTGATGTAACGTTTGAGGCTAATGTATTTTTATGTACTTGGACGTCACACTGAAGTCTGAATACATTAAGGGTACAGCAATATACGTTAAAATGTAATGTATTGAAGATGTCTGCTGATGTTTCCTACATTACAATTTCTATTCGGGTAGCTTATTGGTCCCAAGTAAACGATTAACGTACCCCATTAGAGTCGAAATTCTAGTACTACACAATGTTTGTTTAGATTCCCTATGGAAGTTTGACAGATAAAATGAGGGGTTAGTTAATTTTCCTATGTTTCGAGGGGTGAATCGATTAGCTTGGGACCGAAGATAGTACCAGAGCTGAGCCAAAAAGTTGAGCACGTTTCTTCGGGACCTACTAGTCTTAGAGTTAACTCTATGCTAATACTGATTAATATCAGCAGTCAGTAATAATAATCAGTGTTTAGAACAACACAGAACAAATATTTTAATACATATCCACATATTGACTATGTTCAGGTGGTCCCGAAACAGTAAATGTAATATTTTTTAAAGACCGTGCGCGTCGTAGTTGCTACTCCGTTAGTGATCATAACCAGTGAAATTGCACAGGGAACCATATAGATGGAGCTTGGGGATTAGATTTTCATCTTTAATGTACAATTTCACTGATTCGTCCTATTTATGGATCAGTACCGACACCAGCCACGTCCTCACGGTCTTTAGGGGGAGGGGAAGGATGATTAGTTTGACGTCCGTTGTTACTAGAGACCGAATACATCTCTGCATCTCCTAGGCTGTCACTGGAAGGATTGTCATGTTGAGTGAGGTGGGTTTATTTTAAGTGATCCGGATCAGTAAAAGTAGCAGAATCTAGTCGATATATAATAAGGCATAGTGAAAAATTGTTAGACGGACCTAAGATTGTACTCCCGACCTTCTGCTCAGTAAGCAGAAACGTCATTTCTAAGCTACGATCAGGCTAGACAGTTACTCTGCCGTAGTTTGATTGCCACAGATTTATCAATTTTTGACTGTTGAAAAATTTGTCTAGCAACGTGGTCTATAGTTTAAGTGCCTGTCACATTAAAATTTGACTGCCAGCAGAAAATATTCTTTCACTTATTTTCATTGACATTTTCATTACACTGTAAGGATATAGAAAGCTCAGCAGGCCGTGATCACATTGGAAGACAATCTACTAGTTTGACAGCTTGATGGTTGGCAGTAAAAAGAAGAGCGAATTTGTTTCCAATTTGAGTGATAGAATGTAATGTATTGTAAGGTTTCCTCATTCGACCACTCATGGGTCACCATTCGATGATTACGCTTGGCGGTTATTGGCTCACTGTAATCGTCCATTTTCACGTCACTTGTGATCACACAACTAAATGCTTTCTGATCCAAACGGATGTCAAAATATCTGCGACCGATAAAGTTCTGCAAACAGTTGCCGAAGTACACACACATTTGTCTTTACAGCCAGCAAGAGTGTTCCGTCGAGCGGTGACCAGGCCCTACGTTGTGTTTTAATGTTTTTTCCGGATCCACGCACGTTTAAAAAACCAACCGAATTTTTGATTTCTTCCTTAACTGAGAAATATTTCAAGTTCCATGCAACGCTTTTATTTCATGCAACGTGACGGTTAAAACCTTTTTTTTTTTTTTACTCTAAATGATCTTTATTTCTGGTATTTGTGTGGTTTTACATGTATGAATTAACAAGTGACACAGAGGCGTCTTTTCAACTTTAGTTCATTTTGAAATGTTGAATTATTATTTAAAGTTCCTAGTCCTATCAGGCCTGTTTTTAAGAATGACCACCTTGGTGGGATTGGTTTGTTTGACGATCAAAACTGCGCCTAACTACACTTAAAAGGTTGTGCTATGATCCAACTCGATTTTTCTACTCCTATACTATAGTGGGCGCTTGTGTTGGTGCAAGCGCTACTCGCATCTATCAACTAACAGGGTTCGGCAACCTGATACCAACTTAATTACACCGTAAAGCGTTGGGCACAACAAAGAGTTTTTTGTCAATAGACCATGATCACAAATTTGAAATTTTCGCTCCACAATACGATTCCAAATCGGATCCTGACTAACCTCTCAAAATTTGAACCCATTTGGTGAGAAACTAAGATGGCACAAACCATTTGAAGTTTGTACGGGAATTACTATGGTAAAACCAAGATTTTTGTTCATGTCTATCAATAATTCACCATATCGGTCTGCTTCAAAAGTTTTCAACTGTACTTGTAGGAAATTACTACAGCTACAACTTTGCTGAAGACCACTTTTTGATTAAATGCAAGGATCGAAAGTTATCAATGGTTCAATGAGCTGATGTCTTATGATCATGCTCAACCAACTGCTCAGCAGGCAACATTGGTGTTTCTGGGGCGTTGAATAGGACATAAAAATCATGGCTACTATGTCACACTGCAAAATACAGTGTTGCCTACAGAGCAGCTGCTTGATCATGTCATAAGTTTACCAATCTCTTAAATAATTAAAAACTTTTTCCTGTCTCGTTTTACATAGAAACGATCTTCAGCAAAGTTGTAGCTGAGAAAATTTTCTATACGAATGGCTATTGACCTGTTACGCATCTCAATATGGAAAAAAGACTAGAAGGCAATGAACAAAAAGTTGAGATTTCCCATAGTAGTTTACATTTAAACTTCAAATGACTTGTGCGAAGTCTGTTTCTAACCAAATGAGTTGTAACTTTGGGAGGCTAATCAGGACCCGATTTGAAACCATTTAAGCACTGTGGAGCGAAAAAGTCAAATTTTGCATCAGTCTAATGATCATACTGTCACAGATAATATGTACGCTTTGACTGTCCGCAGTTCGGCAGTTACAGATATTTTGACTG